TTCGTGGCCACCACGAAGGCCTGGTTGTGGATAGAGACCCTGATAGTGCTGGCACATATATGAGAAGGGAAGTACAGGGTCCATACAAGATGCCTCGTTGTCGAAAGGATTCTAGAAAGCCGCGAACATCATCCTAGGCTAATGCACGGATCGGAACTAATGGCCAGTTTGGTTCCACCTCGTCCAGGGGTTCGAGATAGCGATGGTGCACAGGCCCAAGATTGAGTAAGTTGGGTGGCTCGATCACGGAAAGAAATCGACGACATGTAGGCAAAAAAATTCGAGAACGTTCCGGACTCCAGGAAATCGCCGACTCTCAGAGGAGCCGTTCTACGTTTGGTACAAAGCACAGCGATGCCTTCAATCGGAGGATCATGATAACTTCCACAAAGTGTTGTTGAAATTTCATAATTGTAAAATTCAAACCTGGAGTACTAGTTATGAGAGCATGATGTAAGCGATTTACGAAATTCTCCACCACTGTGCGCAAGTGCAGTATCACGGGTGACGTCATTTGCCTTGTGATAGTACTTCCTGACGGTCTTGCTATATGCCATGCAACTATTTTGGACCATTCAAGATGCTGCTAGTATCATCAGTACTGCGCCGCTGACGATTCTCAAAGCTGGATAAGCAGAAACTGACATTTGAGCCATGACAGTGATCGTTACTTTCGCACAAAGGGACTGTCCCAGGAGATGTGTGATGTACAATGAAACGGTAGGACTTGCAATGATTGATAGTTGGAGGACTGCGAAATAATGTCAAACGAAGATCGCTCGCTCCAAGATCATAAATGTCATCAATAAAGTAAGAAAAGAACATTTGGATATATCATACTGGTATCATGAGAAAAGTTTCAGTGATGCATTTCTGTAACAACCAACAGCACTAAGTCGTCTTCATCGCCCGCCAGAATGACGCGTACCTACACAAACATGCACACATGATCAACAATTCTTTGCAGCGAAATCTGAAATCGAAAACGTACATATTGACACGGTCTAGTGGAACCTCAGGCCCCTTCCTGACTCCCAAAGCAGTGACGGTAAAACCTTTGCGCTCAAATCTGACACAACACTACGTCAGCCTTTACAGGGCCCAGTGTATTCTCAAAAAAACGCACACGTCACAGTACCATGGTTTCCTAGCTGCAGAACGCCAGAGAATGAAACCACCAGGTGAGAGTACACGATAAAACTGGTCAACCTCATCATCGACGTCCTTGGATCCTGGCGAGAACCAGTCAAGGTGATCCATGATAACGGCTCGAGTGAGAGACCAAGATGTCAATCCTCGTAGGACGCTGAAGAGTTTCATCACCAGTTATGCTTCATAGTGCTAACAGTGCTTACTTATATATCGAATCAGTGTGCAGTCTAAACGCATCGGTAGCTTTCCCGTTATTAGCTTTGAGAGCCTGGAATCCGGAACGTGTCAGATATTCTGGGCAGGAGGACGAAGTGTAGTGCCCAAGAAGTGTCTGATAACATCCTGTAAGCGCAAGAAAAACTCAAAGATCCCCAGCTTACCAGTGGGTAGAAGTATGCGCCATCCTTAAAGGAATACGTCGATGGTAAAGGGTTTAGGGTATCTCTTACGAACTCATACATGGACCCTTCGTCCAGGACCATGCGGCGCTGGTTGAGGGGCACTCCCAGTGCGTTCCAGCAGAATATTGGGCTCTTGAGTAAGGCAATGACGACGGGGTTCAAGAGGGCGGGTCTTAGTTTCTCGCGCCAGATCTGCTCCTGCTGAGCTATACTACCCGCACTGCACAGAGCTTCCACATCTTTCGATACTCCAGCGACTGAAAAGACGATTCTGGCGAGCCGCAGTGCCCAGCCGCTGTATCCTTTCAAATAGAAGGCTTTGAAGAAAGCATCGTCATTGATGTGCCAAAATTGATAGGCGATGGAAGAGAGAAGGGGAGCAATCTTGGAGTCAAGGAGCGCACGGAATTTGGGATGATGTCCATTACCGAACATGGAAAAGAAGTCTTTGTACTCGAGGGCTTGTACGGCTGCCAGTTTCAACTCTAGTAAATGACCTTGACTATATGACGAAAAGTCAGTCTAGCCGCATCACAGAAGATAGTTGGTCATACCAAGGATTCATGTCCACACAATGAATCTTCAAGACAGATATTAGCACACAAAGGATGATGCTTCATCGATTCACATACTCTCTTGGGTTGCGCTGCTATAGAGTAATGCAAAGCATTGTCACCTGCTGATGTGATCACCAGCATCGAGTCTTCGGGACTAAGATCGAGATACTTCATATCCACCTCAGGATCCTCCTAACATAGTGTTCAGCGTCGGGGGGCAGGTAATATGAAGAGAAAACAACAGACCCATGTAAAAGAGTATATGAACGTTCTGAACGCTTGGTGTATTGCCTGCTCATAGTACGGAAGCCTCCAAGGCTAGTCCATAGTCAGTTTGATCGTAAATTTCATAACGCATTGACTCACCTTTCCTAGATGATAGTGGAAGGAGCTCAAAGGTGGCGTCACAGTGATAAGTGCGTCTGCGTGAGAAGCCTGCAAATTCAGAACAGGTTCCCCAATCTCGAGTGGCGGAATAGTTTCTGAATCCTTAATAGTCGTGAAAGATGCTGGCGAAGAATTGCCAAGCATGTTGCCTCCTTCGACTTCAAAGGCATGACAGAAACGAGATACATCACACGAACGTGAGCGACCAAGCCAGATGTAATAGGGACTATGAAACATTAGTGAGGACAATCACAGATAAGAGTTCGATAATACTGACATGCGGACGATAAATGGGATAACGAAGCGATTTCTGCCGTTATAAGTCTTGACCTGAAAACATAATCGACATAATTGATGCTAGAACTATTTGATAAACGTACCGTGCCGAACTTGTATTCCAGGTAGTCTCGACGATGCGGTGACAATGAAACATGGTCAAAGTCAAACCAGATCTGCCAGAACCACCTACTAAGCCAACCGCATTCCTTGCTCGTGCCTCCAATGGCCTTCTCGTGCAATGACGGCTGTTTGCCAGAAGTGTAAAAGTCGACGACAGATAAAAGACCGTTCTCTGGGGAAAGAACGTAGTCGATACGATCTAAAAGGGTATAGAAGTTGGGTATCTAAATTTACATTGTAAGTCGGTTCTTCCAGGAGCTGCTTATCTCAAACTTACCATGGAGAGGGAATAACTGAGCGTTATGAAGCTTACGCTCCCTTTCGGATCACTCCGTGCCCATTCTGGAAGAGCAAACTCGCTTGCATCTTGACACAATACTGTGATGTTTGTCCATCCTCGCTTGGCAAATCGCTCCCTTGCAACCTGGAGGAGGGGTTCACAAAGATCGATGAGATAAATGGCGTCGAAGGAGGACACCGGAAGGTGCTTATCCATAAGCTCAATATTATGGCCTGATTGGCGTTCAGGAGAGAATAATGAAACCAGCAAGTAGGTGCGTACCTGTTCCTCCGCCTATATCAACCCAGATCAATCTCTGCTTGGGGTTTTTGGCCTGCATAGTCCGGATATGGCTAGCTGAAAGGTTGAGCATGGTATTCCGGCCTCGTAGAAGACCACTTCGTGTTGCATCATAAACATCCGCCTGGCCTTTGTAAAACTGGGGATGCGATGGGTGATTTGTGACGTTTACATAAAAACGATTTTACGGACATTATCCAATCTCGTTCGCTGGTCGCTTGCACGAAGAGGGCGGATAAAACAATGCCATATGAACTTGAGCTGCGGGCGAAGAGTGCTACCCAGGGCAAGGATAAATGCCGTTAACGAGCAACCCAATAAGATAAAGGCGGCGATGGTCGAAGATCCGGTCCAGTATGTGATTGCTTCTCTGACATATCTGGCACATCGTCAGCATGTGTAGAATATATGCCAATCACTGACCTTCGTTCAATATAGATTACAAGGGCGCTACCGATCAACAGGAGAGCACGAGAGACCGTGGCCATTATCGTCACCAAAGATTCGATTCATCTTCTTATTCTCTCCTTTTAATGGCACGCGTGCTGAAGTCTGTAGTACGAATGTGGGATTGTCAAGAAGATGAAATGGAAGGAACCTCGGAGGTGAACCAATGAGGGTGTCTTGCTTGAAAATTGTACGCACGAGGGCTTCAGTTACGCAAGGCACGACGAGCGCGCGCAAGTCAACGAACGTGCATCTACGGTTGACGCGCGGAGATAACGGCCTCAGTGCCAGGATTCGCGAGAGATACGCCACCGAAGAGTCACTGAGCCAGTTCATGAACGTGAAACGATGCCTTGGCACACAATAAATGGGATGAACGTTGGGTGTCGAGCGAACGTTCAGCGATCGAACTCTTGTCGATCGCCCACTAGTCCGAACCTCTGACGAGAACGACCACAACAACTCGTAAGCACGTAAGCTGCACTGCTGCAGCGCTGCACAAGTATGTGAGGAAATACCCCGCTGGAAAGGCTATGTACGTACATGCAAGGTGGCAATACATACTATTACTCGTATGAGTCCCTGTAACGAGCCTATTAGTACGATCATCCAGTTGAGTCACTTGAGTGGAGACCCAGGCAAATTTAAACATGTCTGAGACGGGTTTAAAAAACTGTATGTCACGAAAAGTGAGATAGACATTTGGCCAGTAAAATTCTTGTCCAGAAACGAGGTAGTATCGAATTAAGTTTGCTCAGTGCGGTGCAATCATGAAGCAGTAGCTTGAAATGCGGAGGCTACTGTGCGACGTATAGCGGATGCCGAATGCGAGGCAAAATTTGACCCAACAGCCAGAGTCCTCATGCCACTGGGCAGATCGAGTCTCATGAATGATGAGAGCGACTGCGTCTAGGCGCGGACGCTGAGTGTGGCTGCCCTCTCTCATCTGGAGAGCAAGACACGCACTGAAGGATGTCGTGATCCTCCTGGCCAAATGGCTTTACAAGTGGCTGATGCCAGAGACCCTGTGTTTCATAGTTGTGCAGCGCCGTAGCTAGGCGCCGTGTTGTGTCTGGAGAACTAACGCTTGCGGTGTTTAAATTTCCCGGACTCATCCAGGGACAGGCAACCATCTGGAGCCGGCCGGTCTCCCAATGATCTATGTCGAAACATGCGATTGCCAAACGGCAACAGGGTTGAACGTTGATGCCTGCGCGCGCGATCACAGTGATAGGAATACGAGGAGTGACCAGTGGTGCTTTGGTGAACGGATGGAAAATATCACTTGAAGAGTGACGAAGCATAACATGCGGTCACTGCAAGGCAGTACTTCCCACTTGGTAACCTTATATATTCTCTGCCCTACAGCCCCTTGCGCGCTAAAGTACTCTCCCGCTCTTTCTTCTTTTTCTTGTCCAAGTCCCAGCAATGCGAGACAATACTGCAGCCTCTCGCAAGTTCATCGATCTCATTCGTCAAGCCTCATCCAAGTGGGCTAATTGGGACCCGCCAATTGAGATCAAGGTCAGTAGTTTGATGCTCTAGTGATTATCGCGCAGATTTTGTCTTATAGTCAAGGCTCGTAGGTGGGGGATTATGGGACGATCGAACATGACAGTGGAGAGCTCGACGTGGAAGGGAATATCTACGATAAAACATTCCAAACCGCGCTGGACAATCAAGGCTTAAAGCTCAATTTATCTGACGCATCATGTCAGCCACGGAAGGGCGGAATCGACGACAACATAATCATGTCCTCTTCGGGTGTCAAACAAGGGGATTTCTCGCTGAATCCAGAAGTGTGAGAGCGCACGCACCTCTTCCTTTATGTGCTATCATTCATCATGCACCAATCGATCAGCTCCTTTCTCAACCTGGCCTCTGCTGCTGTCAAGGCCGAATTTAAGTTTCAAGAAGGCAAGCGAGGCGCCGTCCTCGTGATGCACAAGCCCCAGCAGGTATATATTCCACCAGGCAAGGTGCTGTCCACTATCCACAAGGCAAACGAGCTGCAAGACAAGTATCTTGTCACCAGCACGTTCACGTGCCCAGGCTATTATATCTATTTATCTAACAAGTGTGCGTCAACTTGCTTCGTGTTTCATTGGTAGCACTCCGTTGACTTATGGTCCTGACGCAGCCGGAGAGAGGATAGCACTGGCGCTAACTGCTAGTGCACCGATTCCAGCTGCAGCAGGCATAACTGCTGGCGGAACAGTCTCTATGGATTGGTGGACTGATGCTCAAGCAGCATTCCTCCGGAAAGCGGTTGACAAGGCTGGACAGTACCGCTACACGCCACTGTACAGCCTGAAGCACAAACAAAACTCTTTTTCTTTTTCGCGAATTTTCCGCGGGGAAGAGGAAGAGAAACAGAAGACGATTTGTAAGTTACTGATTTCCACTTGTGATACTGATCCTGACATTCACCCAGGTGGCTTGACTGTACGCCACCGTGGCAGCCTCTTGATGAAGATGGAGACGAAGATCCAGTGTGGGAGGATGTACGTCAAGTTTTGCTCACTCCCTCTAATGCTTTGGCTCATGATTTATCAGAAGGATGAAGAATTTAGTCCCAAATCTGCAGTAGAGGGCAGTCTTCCATTTGCCACATGATATGCCTGGTCTGTGTTTGTTGATGTTTGTCCGTTGGATGATTGTTTTATTTCTGGATCTGCGCTGGCTGTATACATGTCTGTACATACGATATCTCTGTCATGTCATCTATATACCATACATTGGCATGCAATACATACGACTGTCCTCGCTATTCTCACTAACCAGAAATGCTTGACAACGACCATGGACTCCCGTGAAGCGGGCTGCCGCGGGGATTCGTTGGCAACTTGAAGTTCCGTATAAATCATGGTGGAAATTAACGCGGAATCTGCTAACGGGACCGCCCTTTTATCGGAAGAAAATCAGTCAGGATGACGCCTATTCGAAATTGAATATTGAAGATCCACACAAGCGATGGATATATATTGTGTTACATATTAGTCCATCGATTTGACTTTACATAGATGTCTGTTTAATCAGTTCAACATATTCGACCCACTAGGGAAATTTACGATTAGCTAATGTAACCATTGATACATATACATTAGCTAACCGTAAATTTCTCCGGATATCCTGACATAACGTTGTCGGACTTGGAAATCGGGACCGAATGGTACCTTATGCGGCACATCAGGGGGATTCTGGTAAACATGCCGTATTCCATATGTGACCCACAGCACAAGGTAAGTAGGTAGTACAGTACTTATCAACTGAAGCCGAACGCCAGCCATGATGAGGATTATAATATGAAAGAGAGCGCATAGGTAAGGGGCCATATCGACCGGAGTCACGCTAACGCTAAAACTAACAACGGACACACTTGCAGTCGTACATATAGACAAGCTAAGGGCCGATACGGAATACTAGTTATAATCAATCCCCGAAAACAAGTGAACCAAGAGGGAAAAGAAAAGAAGCAGTGCAGAAATGGAAATGAGAAAACAAATAAAGGGACCTATAGAGACAAAATACTCGGTCGAGCATGATAACACAATGAAAGAAGACTGGAGAGCGACAGGAAAAAGACGAAGCACGTAGAGAATACAACCTAGCAACCGAAAGAGTCTCATGCAGGGCTATTGGAACCGGCCTCCGGTGCCGCGCGGCCTTCCGAGGGTTTGTCAGGTAGCTCAGTTATACTAGCGGAAAGAGGTGGTGCGCTGGAGGAGCCAGATGATGAGGAAGAGTAGCCGGCGTACGTTGGTGCTGACCAGGTGTTGCTTGGCGGGTAGCTACCATAGGAAGGTTGTGAGGCTTGCGGCGGGTAGTACTGATAGTAGTTGTTTTGGGGAACCGAAGCAGGTGGATGGTGAGGAATTAAAGCCTGCTGCGTGTCAGCGTTGGCTGATGCGCCGCCGTACCCAGGGTATGGGTACGGCTTGAGATGGAGTTGGGGGAGGCTGGTGAGGAGTTGTCGGGGACGGTGTGGGGTACGACGAACTCGAGTACACTGGAGGGTGGGTAGAAGAATGGGTGGTGGAATGAGAACTGGAGTGGGAGGTGGAATACCCTGGAACGCCGTAGTAAGAAGGGGTCGGGTACGCAGAATAGTGAGGCTGAGGAGGAAGACTGGAGACTGCTTGGTCAGGGTATGCAGGGGGTGGCGGAGCTTGTGATGCAGTGGGAGTCGATGGGGATGGCAGAGGGGGTGCGTGTTGGTCCGTCGGAGATGTGGACTCTGGCTGAGAACTCTTAGATTTACGTGAGCGTTTGCCACTGCCAGTAGCGTAAGGGGTGTAGCGTCCCCCTCGTTTCCCGTCGGTGATGCGACCGTCGGTAAGAAGAGGAAGCCCAGACGAGAGAGGAGCCGTAATCATGGAAGGGGTAGATTCAATATCATCTGCCTCTCCACGGTAACGAGGGACACCATCCACACCAATCTCCACTTTAGGAGGGTTACGGAAATGAGTTTTGTCGAGGTATTCTGGACTGATATCCAAAGATGCCAGCTCAGGAAGTGATGAAGGGGAGCGTAACCGCCCTTGCTCTACATCCTCGACCTTGTAGTAAGAGATGAGATGCTGTGATACACCACCGATTGTCAACGAAAAGGTCTGATATGAATGGAACCGTGAGAAAAGAGTATAGGAGGAGGAGAAAGAGCAGACCTTCTTCATGAGGCCGTCGGATTTGAATTTGTAGCTATTAGTGAGACTGCCGACTAGAACACGTTCCCTATGTTTGTCGATACCCAGGGAGCTGGACTCGCCTTTGGGACGACTCAGAGTTTGACCTTCGAGGCGAACGCCGTCAACGTTGTACTGAGAATGTTCGTTCATTTCGGCAGGGTCTGAACGAACGCCTCGATGACCTGCACCACGCTTGTCGGTTTCGCGATAAAGAAGAAAGTTTCCTAATATACGACTTGGACTCCAAAAGAAACCGTCGGTCCAGCGCTTAATACCGCTTTCGTCCTCGTCGAAGACAAAGACTGAGCCAGAGGTTATCATCTTGCGCTCTGAATCGACTAGACGCCTAGTTACTCTTGGTATTAAACCACGACGAGCGGCTTCGAGAATGAGTAAGGCATCGCCAGTAGTCTCTATCCAACCTGACCAAGGAGGCTCTGTCCAAGCTGAACTTGAAGAAGGTTGATTTGTAGGAGTAGGATTGGGAGTTGGAGAGATCTGCTGATTTGCAGACATTTGTTAATATTTGTGAAGTCTGTGGAAGGCATAATGGGAGTCAAAGTAAGAAGTTGATTCGAAGTTGATTGAACCAAAATCTTTAAAGTTCATACCTTGCTCGGAGATGTTCTTAGGTTTGCGGCGGGGTTGGTTGAGAGTGATCAGAAAGCCTATTTGGCCATTTCCCGCCACAACACCAAAAACGTATGGCTTTCGTATTCCTTTACAGTAAACGATTTCGATAGTCAAGTTTAAAAACTTGACCCTTTCAAAAATCCTCTATACGATAGTTCATGCTTAAAACAACTTTCAATTCTGATACAAGAGAAGTCGCCCGCTCAAAAATCAAAGTTTTTGCTCAGCTGACTCCAACTTACCGCTTACTAAGCACTCCGCGAGCAATCAAACTCAAGCTTCAAGCTTTCGGCGATCGACTATGGTACTATTATTCATATCAGCTGGTGGCTTACCCCTGTCTGCCGTAGCAGATTTAACCATACTAGCAGTAAAATGCACTACAGACAGTTCAATGTCTATACCATCGTTCTGATTCGAACTTCTCGACCCGGCATCACCGCGGTCATCCTTTCCGAATTTCATCTCCATTTGATGTGATCTAAAGGTACTTCATGCCCGTGTGTGTTTTCTACTCATTAAGTGCTTTCTAGCCCCACTCTACACGCATTCACCGTCTTGTCAATCGTGAGTCCTTGACTATTCTTGGCTACATTCATGTACGATCTCTAAAAAAGTCCTGACCTTTCGTTCCTGTGCACAACCCCGTGATCATGTGCGCATCTATGTGCTCAGTCAATCACGCGGAGATAGTGGGTGGTATTCCGGTCTCATTCGTACCAACAGAATAAGGGCAATCTCCAGTCCGTTTGGCACAATTCCAGATCCATCTCTCCTGAATTACAGGTACAGGGACGCTTTGTATTCGCTTAAACGTATCCACTGCACCTCTACACCATGCATTCGCAAATGGGAGCTGCGTGGCAATCATTTTGAGTGGATTCAAAGAGCCTCGCATTGTCCATTACTTCGTCACAGCGAGCATTTACATTTACATTTACTTCTTTCTTTCCTCAGCTCATGGGTAACGTTCTCCTTTTCAGGAACTCGTAGCCCTGGTATCCACAGACCTACTCAGCTCAGCTTGAATGATGCGACCTGAATACTTGTCAAGTGCTGGCCCTGTGACGGAACCAAGTACCTTGGTGTCACTTTTCACCCTGACAACTTCTCTCAACGCTCTCTAGCACGTAGGGAGGGAAAACCCCAAAGCACTTCTAGGATGTATAAATAGAGCGTTTCGAGGAAGTGTCGATCACAACCAGATGGCTGGTCTTACTACCTTCTCGTTGATTTGGATCATATCCGCTCTCACAGCGGTACGAGCCTACGTTGTCTTTACTAGTATAGAGTCACTCATCTCTTCTCCACAGACCGCCTGTGCATATCGCTTCCCCTCACACCATCTCCACAGACGCGACACAACCTGGGCTGCCCTTGGATGCTGGACGTGAGCACTATATCCTTTCACTATGGTGGTCATTTTATGACCGCCATCGTACAGCGATAATGTCGGTGGTACAAGGACGCTTTCCGCAGCCACCTACACAGACACTGTCAATATGACCATCGAGTCATGCGTCAACTTTTGTTCGACTGGCTCCAACGCCTACGTCTATGCAGGCGTCGAATATGCTCAGGAGTGCTGTACGTACTATCTCACACTAATTTTTATGGCTCTTCATCACATCTTTCACACAGACTGCGGCAACTACTTTTCCAGTGGTGCCACCAATGCCAGTTCATCGGACTGTGACATGGCTTGTGCTGGCAACGCTGCCGAATTCTGCGGTGCTGGCAACAGATTGGATATATTCTGGAGCGGGGTCCAACCTCCCGCCCCACCCATCCTGGTCCCTAGCGTTGGCAACTGGTCGTTGCTTGGATGCTACAAGTACGTTCCTGTATGTCAAGGACGGGTCCTGAGCTAACCCGAATTCGTACCAGCGACTCAGCAACACGAGCATTACCATACGGGACTGACGTAACCGGAAGCGTTACTGTTGAATCTTGTACCACCGCGTGTTACGACGCTGGATACCCTTATGCCGGCATGGAATATGCTGATGAATGCTGTGCGCACGCATCTTCGCTCAAACGCTCCTTTTGCTGACAGGTTTTTACAGACTGTGGTTTAACCATTGAGAATAACTCTGGTCCCACCACCAACACGGACTGCGATATGACATGCGCGGGAAATTCGTCCGAGTATTGCGGGGGGCCGTACTTGCTCAGTATCTATAACTACACGCAGGCTATTGCCATTGCCCCTGTCGTCAATCCCACTGACCCCACCGACCTCAGCACTGTTTCCCCTGTAACCGCTGGCTTAACTGGCAACTGGACGTATGGAGGATGCTACGTCGACAACGTAAACGGGCGCGTATTGGGGAACGAATATGACAACAGCACCATGACAGTGGAGAGTTGTATCGCGAACTGTGCCGGGCAGAAACTTCACCATTGCAGCCATCGAGTACAGCACGCAATGTTGTAAGTAGTTTCTATCTTCTTCTTTACCTCTTCTGACTCTTGCTCAAGTCTGCGGTGACTATCTCATCAACGGCGCTACGATAAGTGCAGATAGTAACTGCAACATGGCCTGTGGTGGCAATGCGACGTGCGTGTCTTCTTTAGTTGGTCTTTTTTTATGTTCTTGACGTGGACTAGTGAAGCATGCTGGTGGTCCAAATCTACTTTCTGTTTACTCCTCTAATGGAAATATAACATTACTTCCTGTTCCTGTGATGCAAACCACAAACTTACCTGGACAATGGGTATATGAAGGCTGTTTGGCGTTAGTGTTTTATTCATTGCTCATGCTTGCGAGTCCTGATGTTACCATGCAGAGAACCATCCACTGGCGCCCGGATATTCCAATATGAAAATGAATGGACCACGAACAATACCGTCGATGCGTGCCTAAACCAGTGTGCTGCCTTCGGGTATCCTGTAGCTGGTCTTGAATACGGAGCACAGTGTTGTAAGCGCATCGACTCACTACACTCGCTTGCGGATCGCTGATAGAGACAAGTCTGCGGCGACGTCAGTGATATTGCAACAAATGGTGGGACGTATGTCTCAGATTCACAGTGCAACATGGCTTGCTCGGGGGACCCAATCCACCTATGTGGAGCAGGAAGCAGGTTGTCTACCTATTATTGGAATGGGACGATGAATACGTGGAATACCCCCGCGAATACTGGCTACTATGAGGTGTGTCCCATCTTGTCCTGAACGTACAAAATGTTTATAATCTATGTAGTTCCTCATAGGAGGTCTCGTCGTCCCTCTCATTGCCACTGTAGGCATCAACAACAAAGTCACTTTCCTCGAGAAGTATGGCACCTCGGAATATGATAATTCCACTGGCGCGTATGAGTTGGATCTCAGTTTGGTGGACAATTACCAGCTGGCTTGGCGCGAGATGCACTTGCAGACGGACGTGTTTTGTTCTGGTAGTATCATCCTACCAGACAAGGGAGGAAGGTTTGACGTTTCACTTGGCATATAAGACTCACGCTTACATTGGAATCATCAGGCAAATCAATGTAGGCGGATGGTCGCTTTCGTCGACTTTTGGTGTGAGATTGTATACGCCGGATGGGAGTGCTGGTGTCAATGGTACCAATGATTGGGAAGAAAATGTTAATGAACTCACACTTCAGGTAAGCTCTGAACTATTGGTACTTGGCTCACTGTACTTATGCGTGCTCAGCGTGGCCGATGGTATCCTACCGCGATGATGATGCCAAATGGAAGTATTTTGGTCGTTGGTGGAGAGTCGGGAAGTAATGCTTCCCCGCAGCCCAGCCTCGAAATCCTTCCAGCGCCTATTGGTGGTGATACGGTCGTCACATTGGACTATCTTCAGCGGACAGATCCATACAATCTCTATCCATTCCTAATGGTGTTGCCCAGTGGTCGATTCTTCATTGGTGCGTGACATGATGGGCGAGATGCACTCTTTCTTACAAAACGTAACAAGGTTACTACAATGAGGCTCGCATTCTTGATCCTGTCACCTTTGACACAGTGACCGTGCTGCCAAATATGCCGGGAGCCGTGAACAACTTCCTCGCAGGCCGGACGTACCCGATGGAAGGGTCTGCGGTACTTTTACCGCAGTACGCTCCATACACCGATCCGATCGAGGTTCTTATCTGCGGTGGCTCGACGATCGGAGCCGCTATTGCGCTGGACAACTGTATCTCAATTGCCCCCGAAGTACCAAATGCGACATGGACGCTGGAACGTATGGTAAGCCGATTTGAATTTGGGAAAGTTAAGGTTTAATGCTGAGATGTGCGAACTTTAGCCTTCCAAACGGGTGATGCCTTGTATCACGACTCTGCCAGGTAAATATGACGACGAATGACAGGAGTCTGGTTTTAATAATACGTCAATCACAGATGGCACGTATCTGATCATGAACGGCGCTCATCAAGGTGTTGCTGGCTTTGGCCTTGCCACAGATCCTAATTTTAGCGCAATTCTATACGATCCTTCGCAGCCGATTGGCCAGCGTTTCTCTATCCTCAACAATACCATTGTAGCCCGCTTGTATCACTCCGAAGCAACCCTTTTGCCTGACGGGCGCGTTCTGGTGTCTGGTTCAGACCCACAGACGTACTATACCAACGGGTCCTATGTGTACCCAGAGGAGATGCGCATTGAGGTTTATATTCCACCATACCTCAATCAAGGTCTCACGCAACCAGAGTTTACTATTACTGAGACTGATTGGGCGTTGGGCGGACAGTATAGTATCACAGTGACTTTGTTCCAGGGAACAACGAGCACCATGCGCGTCTCACTTGTGGCAGGTAAGCAAGGCTAGTGATTATGGATGTATCAGTTTCTGATTATGAAATATAGCTTCGTCTAGCACGCACGGAAACGTCATGAGCGGTGGGAGGATTATCTTCCCTGCGTTTTCGTGCTCTGGGAACACTTGTACCATCACGGCGCCCCCGAATGCGTATGTAAGTCCACCTGGATGGCACCAGCTTTTCGTTTTGGACGGTCCGACGCCTTCGCACTCTGCTTGGGTTCGCATAGGAGGTGACCCTGCACAACTGGGCAACTGGCCTGATTACCCTGACTTTACTACACCAGGTGTCTAAACCAACTCTTTCGTTATACCCTTCTTTTTGGACAGTCTTTCTGTTTGGTTCGATTATACCCTATTTATTCTCGAGTTAAACTCATTCCGCTCATTCCGTTTCGCTCGTTTTATAAATATTCCTTCATTTAAGTGGAACTGTCTATTATACCAGTCACTGGTAGTTGCCCGGGAAGTAATAATTTCTTGTGGTATGAGATACAGTGATGATACAAAATTAGTTTCTCTGAAAATAATTACTGGTTCAGCTTTATCTATGTCTTGAGAAGGGCACCACCTACCAGCTACTAGTTGGTACAGCATCAACGGGAATGCGCGCCCAAGATCACGAGCATTCAGCGCTATGCATCGGTGGATGGGGACTAGGTTGTCTGCTCTTAACTATGAGAGGCGCTCTTTCAACGTCAGATGTGGTGTCGTCGACGGGCTTTCTGCACGAGCAGCACTGGCAACTGCAGAGGTGCTCTGTGCATGGATGTCCTGCCAGTGCAGAATGACATTAAACGATGCTTGAGAAATCGCGGTGCTTACGTATGGACATGAAATCAAGACATATTCCAGTCATGACGTCGCAGCACGCAGTGAGTCCGAGCGCGCAACACGTCCCTAGAACATCAGACATAGTGCGAGTAAGGTTCTACTATCATAGCCGGTCATCGCGTACTTGTATATATGGAGGCATTGTTTGGCTCTATTGTTCAAGGCCTTTGGAAATAAACACTATCAAACATTGTCAACAAGAGGTGCGATTACTTTGTCAAGACCGAGTGTGACCACCGGTGCAGTCGGCAACATGGAGTCCACCACCCACTTCCGAACACAGAGAGCACGCGCAAACGGTGCCCACCATGACAACTCCGGAACAGGACGAAGAGCACACCACAAACACAAGCAATGGGTCGCGGACAATGCTACCAACAGAAATAGCACATCTCATGGAGGCGCAGATACCGAACGGTGGGAGCGTGGAGGGCATAGAGGAAGTAGGGGTCGAGGAAGAGGCACCCGTGGCAAATTTCCTAATACTACCCTGACTTTCCGTCAAGGAGGCGCTGGGTCAGCTGCTGCCAGCGAAGGGGATAACAGCGAAATGGAGGATGCCACTGATGTAGATGTAGATGAAGTGGAACACCAAGAGCCAGATACACTCGAGGAAAGGGAACGATTCTGGAAAGAGGTGGGTCATACGTCTTATTCGTCGTATATCACCTTTACTCGAGTCTGCAGCTTGTGAAAGCGCGCGAGGTCGAACGCAAGACAGCTATTGCAGAGGGTAAAATGGACGACCCCAATGTTGCAAAACGTCTGGAAGACGCTATCACAATGGTCGGCACATGCATGGATATGTGCCCGACATTCGAACGCTACCGCCGTGAACGCGAGAACAACCTCTTTGAGTGGGAAATTGTATGAGGACATTCAATTCGTAAGTGTGCTAGATGTACTCGCTGATTATTCGTTAGGTCCCAGGAACCAAACGCGTTGATCATAAGAGAGCTGTCAAAATGTATGAACGGGCAGCTGGTGACAAGACATTACCCTCCGATCTTCGTCCTCCAAAAGTTCTTCAAGTATGTTGCTCCAATATACTATTCTATACATCATCTAATCCAATCTATTGCAGCGCACACTCGACTATCTTTTCCACGACTTGCTTCCCCGAGGCGGCTTTTCTGCAACCTTCAATTTCATTCGTGATCGCTCACGCGCTGTACGAAGTGACTTCACGATGCAGCATGAAATGGGTTCCATCGCAATTGAATGCCATGATAGATGTGCACGGTTTCACATCCTTGGTCTTCATCTGGAGCGAGACCGACCGGGATCCCAGGTCAGTCTGGAGGAACAACAGCTGAAGTACAGTGCGTGGACTCGCCACTTGACGAACCTTCTTGATAATAATCGTACTCGCAGCTCTTCAAAGTCTGAAGGAGTTTTACGAAGAGCAGCGAGGAAAATATCAATCACCAACAGAGCTCGAAATGCGAGTCTATCATCGTCTAATCCATATTCGTGATCAAAAAGAGCGGCAGGAGGATATTCCTTCCTTTATCCTCGAGCATCCGGTGTTCAAGCTCACGACCAAATTCCGGTTACTCGTACAGGCGAAGAGCGCCCCCATTGGCAGAAGCTCTCCTCTTTCCGTCGATAACGAGGCGCTTGGGGTTTTCAACGAATTGATCATAGTCCTTCAGGGGGAAGGAAACTATGCCATGATATATCTGGTCGCATGCATCATAGAACACTTATTTGGCACCGACACCGTCGACGACATTGAAAGCCTGCGGGAAAATCTCACCCTTTCTGATATAATCGATGGCAGCTCTGCTGTTGTAGATGAGCATCATGACACTATTGTAGAAGAACCAGACGCTATGCACGAGGAAGAGGAGCCACCCTTCGAGGCTGACTTGGTGGATGCACCGCAATCTTCCCCGAAGCCCCCGCAGCGAAGCGGAACCGAGTGGCTCAATGATACATTTGGTCCGAAACCCACTGAATCAGCATTCCTAAACCCTTCTCCTCAACCTGCATCACAATCACCAAAGTCCGCGTTTTCAAATCTGACATCCGTTCCCAATGTATTTGGGACGACGACATTCCAACCATCAGCATTCGGCTCCACGAACGAGTTTGGTTTTGGCTCAGCTGCCGTCTCTACATCAGTATTTGGATCCTCTGCAACTCAGACCTCTAGTTTTAACGAAGCACCCTCTTCGGGTTTGTGGACAACCCGTTTCCGATTTCTTGTTTATTGATCACACCTTCAACTTAGGTCAACCTCCAGTTTTTAGTCAACCTCCACTTGTCTTGTCTCCGACCTTAACAGTGCCCAGCGAGAACAAGGCTCAGGTTCCATTTACAGTGCCTCCGGCACCCCCTCCCTCTACCTCTAATCAACCATTACCCCCTTTCCCAAAACTTTTTTCCATACCCGAGGTCAATAAGGCACAACCTCTCAACCCCCATGCACCAGTATTTGCACCAGTGCTTTCTCCGATTGTCACACAACCTACACCCTCGTACGAACTTCCAACTCCTCCCTCTCCCGTCACTTCGCAACCAACTTTCGATGTTCGCCATAATTCTTTCGGTAGCTTAGATCAAACACCACCTTCTCAACCACCGCCTTTGAGTAGACAGCAGCCAATATCTTTACCGTCAACACCCACTGCGACGATGTATATCCCTTCGACCATCTCTGGCACGTCCACTAAGTCCGTTTTCCAGTCTCTCAAAAAACTTCAACCTACTCTGCTTACTGCTTCCCCTACTGAAATTCTGAGCCCACTGGTACTTTCATCGCCCGGGACAAGATCTACACTTAGTTCTATGGCCAGCCTACACCGACGTGACTCCGTACAAACTCCCTTGCGTTCAGGAATAACTGCTGCCAATCTTGAGGCGGTTTCAAGCAAACTGGAAAGCCCAGTCAACGGGAAAGCACCGGCTTTGTCATCCACTAGCAACGTGGACCAAGAAACGCTCGAATCCAAAGCTTTAGCATTTGCCCGAAGGAACTTGATAATCAAGGAGGCCTTCCAGGAGTGGAGGGAAAGAACGGCTAATCGTACCAAGTGGAAAGAGGCTTGTCTCCGAAGTGAGGCCTATAGTCAGCGCGTACACACAGAGCGACTTTCGAAGAGTACTAGCTCGTTACCGCAAGAGAACAAGCGCAAAGTGGTTACACCAGAACGACCAAGCCCCGTTAGGAAGCGGCTCAGACATCGCCTGTCCAGCGAATACCGGCCACCGCCTAGCGATGAAGAACTTCTCAAGCGGTTCGAAAAGGTCGGTGCATCGTCCGTATCAAGTATACCACACCTTTTGAATGTATTGTTGTCTTAGAATCGTGAAGAAAACGAACGGCGTTGGGCTCGTGGATCTTTCTTCCATGTCCTGCAGCAACACCTGAAGGACCACGTCACGCACTATTCCAGAGAGCTGGTCTGCCTGGCTGTCCTTAAACCAGGATAATGATGGAACTGCCATTTGGCTTGAACTGAAATTCGATGTACCTGACTCTGGCAACTGGAAGGATGCCAATATATTCCAGATACCGGTGGTGCCGCAGCCACACAGCAATGAAGCATTATACCCGGGTATCATCATTTTCGAGCGAACCCCGATTGGCGAGGTCGAAGACCCCCTGGAAAGGTTGGTTGTGATGAGTTGCTTACTACGAGTTGCTGACTTATGCATGGTAGAAAATACCGGATGCTGGATGATTGCTCACGTTTACGAGATATCATCGAGTCATTACCCCCTGATCGGCATTTCATTCCTTCCCTCTTGACGATATGTTGGTCGGGCGAGGAGCCTGACTCTTCTTCTGATTTCAATGATATGGTACACCCAACGTTGTTCTGAAAATGAGTAACCACTGAACATTTTGAAGATTGCTGCAATACTTCATGATGAAATCTCGTCTTCCTATGTTAACCTATCATTAACATCCACCGCCTCGGATCTTGACTCTAGGTTTCAGTCCGCCTTGCAGTCACTCAAAGTTGATACTGAAGGCAAACTCGTGAGGTGGATGTTTGTACCAGGTATGTCGGAGTTTGCGATATACTTCTCAAAGTTTAGCATCTAATGTTGAGACAGACCTCTTCAGACTGTGGAAACCTATATGGCAGACATTTACCTCCCAGCGATTAGAGCAATGCATAGTCGATGGAGAATGTAGGCAAATATTGGTGCTGCTGAATGTCCAGTACTGACAACGATTACCAGTTGACTGGGGTTTCCTCGGGAGATTCTTAGAATTGTGTATCGATGTTCTCATCACCATCTCTAGTGCTGCACTTCAACTGATGGGTGGCAATACTACCATCTTTGAAAATATCCTGCCCAATCTGAAGCTACAACATGTTAGAGACTCGGAGTACGCCATGTTTCCATCTCGCGTCTTTCCCTTGCTTATTCCTTGACAGCTCAATGTTTGATGCGGTTTTGCAATGGCTGGACAATTCATCGTTGCAATATCCCGGTAGACACCTCGCAGGTGATCTGAGATTGCACCAGGCCCTTGACCGAGGTATGCCAGTTCTACATTGATTGTGTGCGCAACTCAAACTTGTTTGCTGTAGAATTTCCTTCGAGGACTTTTGTTCAATATATATATGACGTTGCTCAGGAGCTGTCCACTCAACACTTGAGCCCCAAAGCTGCAAACCCCACCCTCATACGGAAGACTCGTCTCGATGCAGCGACATTGAAAATCTCAACTGAGCAGGGTTCTTACTCGGATGAGCTCAATGCTCTTCGTTCTGTCAAGCTGCGACAGACGTATAAACGCACTGCATCAATCAATGCGTCATCCAGCCGGTCCGTCGTTGATGATGAACATGTCCTAACTTGACTGACTGCCATCCGTAGGTCTTCTACCCCTGCCAAGCGGAGGAGATTATCCGCCTCTGATGGATTTAGCGAGGGTGGAAGTCCTCCACTGAGCATTACTAGTCCTGCCTACACGTCGCCCTCGTTCAGCACCACAACATCTTTACCTCCTGAGGACAAGTCTACAGTGGTTACATCCGCTATGCTTCGTGCTCTTACTAGGGATATACGGACCAAGTTTGGCAGTCCCAGATGATAGGCTTCTTTCTTAATTGTCCTTTATGAATGATGTTATTGCATATCTCTGTATTGCTTATTATCACTCT